TCATCATTTTGCATATTATATTATATTTGTGGATGATTTTAGTAGATATACATGGTTCTACCCTATTCGCAAAAAATCTGAATTCTTTGATGTTTTTCAGAAATTTCAAAGGATGGTTGAGAACCAATTCGAAAGAACTATTAAAGTTTTTCAATGTGATGGTGGAGGAGAGTTTACAAGCAAAAACTTTCAAGATCATCTAGCAAAATGTGGTATCAAACAACAAATTTCATGTCCCGGTACTCCTGAGCAAAATGGGGTGGCAGAAAGAAAACATCGCCACATTGTTGAGACCGGTCTTACTTTGCTCATACATGCCAACATGCCGCTGAGATATTGGGTGGAAAGCTTCTCAACAGCCACATACCTCATAAATCGATTGCCAACACCCAATTTAACAAATAAAACTCCTTTTTCTTGCTTATATAATAAGAACCCAGATTATTCTATGTTAAGGATCTTTGGATGTCGTTGCTTCCCTTACCTAAGAGACTATGCATCCAATAAACTACAACCAAGATCTTTACCATGTGTTTTTATTGGTTATAGTCCCATACATAAAGGGTATAAGTGCCTCCATCCTTCAACCCAAAAAGTTTATATTTCAAGACATGTGGTATTTGATGAAAATTTTTTACCATATACTGATCTTACTAACATTTCTAAAAGTGTTGATACAGAAGGTGAACTTTGTAGCTATCCAAACTCTGATGAGTGGTTTCGAACAGGAAGTCTACAACCTTCAAAACATATCAGTAGCATGGAAGAATCCTGCCCCACAAAATCGAAGTTCGTAAATCACATGCCCATTTGTGGTGTTCTAGCCCTCTTGGTACGACAAATGAGGTTCAACCAACTAGTTCTCATGTGTTACCACTACCAATAGAGGAGCCACCACAAGATGAGCCAGAACATGAGTCAATAACTCCAGACCATCTAACTGAAAATCCAATAAGAGATGAAGTGAGTCATGATGACATTTCCTCTCCTATTAATGCCTCAATAGTAATTGAACACCCTTCATCAACCTCTCCAAGTGAAGAAAGTGGACCACAAGATCAGCATTCACCCATAGATTTGGAGAATTCAAGGGCAACAGGGGTTTCTCCTCCAGCACACAACATTACCTCCTTGTCAGTCCACCCTATGCAGACTCACTCAAAAACAGGGACGCATACTGGACATGTTCAAACAAAATTTTCGAAACATGCAAATACAATGACAACTAATAATCCTTCTATGCATATTGCAGGACTTGACATTCAGGAGCCAAAATCGATTAAAACTGCTCTTAAAATGCCTCACTAGTTGCTGCAATGCAAGAAGAATTAGATGCCTTGAAGAAAAAAAATACTTGGGAGCTGGTTCCGTGTCCCCCTGGAGCTAATATAGTTAGATCAAAGTGGGTTTTCAAAACCAAGCTAAATCAAGATGGTTCCATTGAGAGGTTCAAAGCACGTTTAGTGGCAAAAGGGTTCTCGCAAGTTCCTGGTTTGGATTTTGATGAGACTTTCAGTCCGGTACTTAAGCCCACAACACTTCGTCTTGTGATTGCACTTGCTACAACTCAATCATGGCCTTTGCGTCAACTTGATGTAAAGAATGCCTTCCTCCATGGCATGCTCAAAGAAACTATGTATATGACGCAACCGCTTGGCTTTGTTGATCCTCAATATCTTGAGTATGTATGCTGCTTACACTGCTCAATCTACGGGCTTAAACAGGCTCCCCGTGCTTGGTTTGACAGGTTCACTCTACACCTTCTAAGAATGGGGTTTTATTGTAGCCAAGCTGATTCCTCTCTTTTTGTCCTTTGAAATTCACAAGCCACTGCTATTCTTCTCTTATATGTTGATGTTATTGTTCTCACGGCTAGCACAGATGAACTACTCCAGCAAATTATTTCAAATCTCAGCGAGGAATTTGCACTCAAGGATCTAAGGCCTCTTCATTACTTCCTTGGTATAGAGGTAACAAAATTTTTTGGAGGGATTATCCTTTCTCAAAACAAGTATGCACATGATTTACTCAATCGAGCATCCATGATGGAGGCAGCTCCAATCTCTACACCATTGGCTATTAAAGACACTATTACTTCAAGAGATACTGAACTTGTTAATGCTACATCTTATTGAAGCATAGTAGGAGCCCTTCAATATTTGATTGTTACCAAAATTGACATTTGTCATGCCGTCAATCGAGTTTGTCAATTTATGCAAGCTCCCACTGTTTCTCACCTTCGCCTGGTAAAAAAAATTCTGCGATATGTCAAGGGCACTAGTCAATATGGTATACGCTACCTAGAACATAGCCCATTGTCCTTGACTGGTTTCTGTGATGCTGATTGGGCTGGTTGTCCTCTCACACGTTGCAGTACCACAGGGTTTTGCATCTTCTTGGGTGCCAATTGTGTCTCATGGGGTTCAAAGAAACAACCGACAGTGGCTCGATCTACTGCAGAGGCAGAATATAGAGCACTAGCTTCCACCACTGCTGAACTTATGTGGATTACTTTCCTTCTTCGTGATGTTGCCATATCTTTGCACTCACCTCCTCAATTGTTTTCGGACAACATTAGTGCTCTTCATATGTCTATTAATCCTGTCTTCCATGCTAGAACTAAGCATATTGAAATAGACTACCACTTTGTCAGGGAAAAAGTCGCAATTGGTTCTCTCATCACTTGCTACATCTCCGGCATCGATCAACTCGCAGATCTTCTTACCAAACCCCTGCTCAAGCATAGATATCAGCTGTTACGGTCCAAGTTGGGAGTTTTCTCATCACCACTCTCCAACTTGAGAGGGAGTATGAAGACTATCACAGCAAATCACGAACACCATGGAGAACAGAAAGGAAAGTTAGACAACCAGAAAGGAAAGAGACAAGTATATGACCAACAAGGAAAGAACAAGGAAGCAGAAATCACAAATCAAGAGCAAAGGATTCAGAAATCAAATATGAAAGCAAGCAACGGTCAAGAGATAGCAAAATCAAAATTATTAATAGAATGATTTTCCATTATAGTAAATCAAGGCCAACT